TGAAACATGTATGAAACTTATATTATTTTGAGTCAATATTCATATTAAAAGCATAATTTCAGTCACTTTCATACAAGATAGTAAACATTTCAAAAATCTATAGAAAATCTTCTATCCATTCTTCACTTAAGATGTAAAGTTTGAAGGTTACAAATTATTGACAAAGGTAGTTATCTCAATAATCTCATGCTTTGACCTTGAATATTGTCCTATACAACTAAGTTCACTGTCAGTATGTTATTTCTTGTAAAATAAAAAGAAAAAACAATTTTATATGGAGTCAGTTTTTTTTAATGTAAATAAGAACCATTGGAAGTTGGGAATATTTCACAAAGTTGATTGAGCATAATTCTAACTGTCCTAGTGAGTTTGTAGTAAAACATTTTTAACCTCATTTTCTTGCCTATTCTCTCATACATTTTCTAATTTGAGTATTCTCAAAACGTATTGATTACGTATAGTAAAACAAAGTTTAAACAAAACCACAATATATGCTGAATATCCTGAAATGAAAATATGCAAGATGTGTAACACATCATGTACAACTTTAAAGTCTACAAGATTTTTAGCTAACCCTATTATACAATAAGACTACTTTTTTCAAAAATATAAAAAAATCTCCACAAAAAAAAAGTATTTATGCAAAAGATGAATGTTATGCTACACTTTTAAAATACATTTTACATGAATCACATAAAGAACATAACAAATCTTTTCTTTGTGGTTGTTTTAGGGTTAGGAACATCTGTGAACAGATATTCTGTTTTGTCTTTTTGATACATAAAAAAGCGTCCAAAATCATTTGGAATTGTTATGTACTGTTAAACCCTGAGACTCAGATTGAACAGTAGAGATCATTTTAAGAGTTTCTGGTGTATGCTCTACTTAGAATTTTTTAATAATGTAACAAAGATGAAACTCATAATTTGATTTTTAATCAGAAATGATAAAGTCATTCCCCTAGGTTTCCACATGCTTTTCTGACACATCATATACATTTATTACTCTACTAGTATGTCTTTGGTAGGAAATCAACAGAACTTATCATTCCATGTAACAAAAATGAAACATGTTAGAAATTGAAAGATATTTTTGTGTACCAATGCATTATATTATACAAGACAATCTCTTTCCCTGTGATGAAAAATTCTCCCCTACATATAAAATGTAGATGAACTTATTTGGATGATGCCATTTTCACATGCTAATAAGAAACTAGTTCAACTAAACTAAAAAGCCAATCATTAAATTTTACAGATAATAAAGGAAAATATCAAGACAGAAAGTCCAGGAATTGAAATAACTAGTTATCATCTAAAGATGTATATGTTTGAATTTATTTTAAATTCACAAGCAAATGATATGCTGACATTTAATCTTTCAAACTTAAAAACTTTCCATACTTTTGAATGAAGATCTTAAAATCTATAGGAGTCTACCCCATGCCTACATGTATCTATTTATGACTGCAGGTATGTAAATCACCATGAAATGTTTCAAGTCAGTAATATTATCTTGTAGGAAAATGATCCAAAAATCTATAGAAAATCTCCTATCCATTCTTCACTTAAGATGTAAAGTTTGAAGGTTACAAATTATTGACAAAGGTAGTTATCTCAATAATCTCATGCTTTGACCTTGAATATTGTCCTATACAACTAAGTGCATTACTCCAAACACTATATGTGTAGTAAGAATAAAATTTATGGAATAATAAAAATATTCAACATATTATCACAGATTATAGGACACTTGCATCTTTATGGGGGTCCTATTGAGACCTATTAAATTCAAAATAGGACAAACACAAACAAAATGTATTTACAGTTCCAGGAAAGTAAAAAAAATACACCAAAGCTAGCTTCTGAATATCTGTGTCATTTTTAGGGGGTTGACTTTTAAGATGTCACCGTCTTGTAAAACGTATTCTTGAAAGTAACCCCTACGAGAACCCCTAGCAGAGGGTCGGAACCCTCCTTTAGGGAAGAGAGCTTTTTTGTTGGGAGGAGCCATGGCTGCAACGAAACAAGGAAGATAACTTATGGTGTTGTTGTTATGGAAACCTGACGCAATCATATTACGTCACCGGAGTGGAATTTCCCGTACTTTCTCTTTATGAATGAAAATAATGCATTCCGAGTAGACGTTCGGGAATTCTCTACTATGTCAAATCAATTCTTGTATGAAATGTTGACTATCTTGTATGAAAGTGACTGAAATTATGCTTTTAATATGAATATTAACTCAAAATAATATAAGTTTCATACATGTTTCATAGAAGAAAATGAATATGGAAATGAATTTGTCTGACTTATGACAAAATAATATATCATGTCAAATCAATTCTTGTATGAAATATTGACTATCTTGTATAAATTATGCTTTTAATATGAATATTGACTCAAAATAATATAAGTTTCATACATGTTGGAAAATGAACTTTTCATTCAGGAAATGAATTTGACTGAATTATGACGTCACTATGACGTCATGACACCTGTCAATCAAAGCAGACGACAGAATTTCGCTTTGTCATCATGTCAAATCAATTCTTGTATGAAATGTTGACTATCTTGTATGAAAGTGACTGAAATTATGCTTATGATATGAATATTGACTCAAAATAATATAAGTTTCACACATGTTTCATAGAAGAAAATGAACTTTTCATTCAGGAAATGAATTTGACTGAATTATGACGTCATTATGACGTCATGACACCTGTCAATCAAAGCAGACGACAGAATTTTGCTTTGTCATCATGTCAAATCAATTCTTGTATGAAATGTTGACTATCTTGTATGAAAGTGACTGAAATTATGCTTTTAATATGAATATTGACTCAAAATAATATAAGTTTCATACATGTTTCATAGAAGAAAATGAACTTTTCATTCAGGAAATGAATTTGACTGAATTATGACGTCATTATGACGTCATGACACCTGTCAATCAAAGCAGACGACAGAATTTCGCTTTGTCATCATGTCAAATCAATTCTTGTATGAAATGTTGACTATCTTGTATGAAAGTGACTGAAATTATGCTTTTAATATGAATATTGACTCAAAATAATATAAGTTTCATACATGTTTCATAGAAGAAAATGAACTTTTCATTCAAAAGTTGATGACTCGTGTCAATCCATGACCGACTTGTTTTGACACCTCACAATACACATGATTTTAGCCCACAAAACCAATGGAGTAGATACAAGGATTAATGGAGGAAGTCCAAACTAAACTCTTGGAAGACATTAAGGCTCATTATGAGAGTAACTTTCAAGTATTTGTTTATTACAAAATTATGTATTATGATAAAAAAAAAAGATTTCACTTTCATTTGTTGTGCCTTACTGTCCCTCACTCAGATCAGAAATGATCTGTTGGTTTTGTAGGTCTCCTTTTTATATAGACTCTCAGGTGTAATTATTTTTTAACTTGCAGAGGAAAAAAACCAATAGAGAATTTTGAATTAGGAATAATTCAAAAATCTCATTCTTTATCACTGAAAAAAAAATCTAGGTCTGAGGAGCTTGCTTAACAATAGAAAACACCAAATTTGGGTTCTGTCTTTTTTATTTATAGTTGACACAGAAATATCCGTTTGGACTGTTGAATCTCGCCTCGACAGATGGGGCAAAACTGAAAGGAAGGAGCACACAAGGCACAGCAGCATACGTGTCCACAAGATAGAAAAACGATTTGTAATTCCTCGTCTAAACAAATGTGACATTTTCCTCGAGCCTGGACGTCTGGTTCTGGGTTCAGTAGAGGTTTAATCTCAGGTAAAGGTTTATATCCCTGCTTCTCTAAGTCCCCGACAAATTTACTCATCACCCAGCTTCGTCCTTTATACTGATTAATGTAAGGACAATTGGGGTTCCAATAAGCATGTTCTGCATAAGGATCCTCCTCAAGATCCCAATTCTCTAAAGTCATTCCACAATGAAAACAGGTAGCGTTATCTTTCACTCCCCTGTAGTAAAACCCAGCTCGAGCTAGGTCTGGTATTTTTCCTGAGAGAAGTTCAGGCCACCCCTGCTCAAAAGTAGCTTCTCTCTTTGAGAGCTGAGCATACTGGGGAAAACGCATGGGTTGGTCTGGCTCGCGATTCCTCATGATTAGAAATGACCTTTGATTTTGAATAAGAATACCTTTTATAGAGAAGAAAAAACAACAACACATAAAACAACAATTCAATTTTTGTTTATTTGTAACAACAAACAAACAAACAAACATATCAATAACCATAAGGTAAAGTGTTATAATTCTCTACAATTTGTCTCTTGTCATATACAATTCTAACTGTTTTCTCTGAAGGTTTATTCATGACCTCATAATCACGGGTCCTCTGGATTTTGCTGGGATAGGGGACTTTTACTTCCTCTATTTCTCCCTTGAGCATTTTTTCTAAAGTCTCCGGACACACGATCTGGGAGGTTCGATGGTTGAGAGTGATTCCTTTGACTTTATGAACCTCGGTTCCTTTGCCCGTCCGGTAAGCATAATTTTTAGGACCTGCCGACATGAATTTGGTGATGTGATCCCCGTCTAATTCGTCGGTCCATTCTCCTAAACTATAACCCAAGGTAGGATTAAAAGCTCCTTCCTTATGTTGGTAAATGATACTGTCCGTATCGAAATAAAGGCCCCGTTCTTCTAAAGGTTGTAAAGTCTCGTAGAGATGTAAGCGGGCATAGGCGGTGGTAAAACAAGCCAGGATCACGTTTCCAAAGGGACATTCTTCGACGAATTCCTGTTTGTCTTGAAAATTCACTAGAATCTTGTCTTCATCGGGGTTCTCTTTATTGTCTAAGAGTCGCACACCCTTGATGTCGAGAGTCGAATTTTGTAAGAGTTGATGTAATTCCTCTACTTCGTCCAAGTATCTGACTTTGGGTAATAACAAGCGTTGAGCAAATTTTCCCCACAGACAATTTAAAAAGAGTTTAGCAATGGTTCTTCTCACTGGATTCTTCTCGATACTGATCTTATCCATCATGAATCCTTCTTTGTCGAAGATTTGATATATGTAATCTCGTTCTTGTTCTGAGGTCTTACACTGGGGGGAAATCCGGACGCTTCCTGTTTGATCTTGAGGAAGGTATTGATGTAGTTTTTAAATAAGTCTTGACTGCTTTCTTTGAAATGCCACACTCCGTAAATTTGCTCTAAGGTATAGCCCATGTCTAGGGCTTTATGTAATTCGCTCGTCACCCAAGTACCCGTGAGACTACGTTCCCGGTCGGTGTGTTGACATCGATCTTGAGACGTAGAGTCTTGTTGTTCGGCACACGTGCGACATAAGGGAAATAATAACTTACCTCCCGTCCGATAAGGTAATACGGGGTGAAAGAGGCCTCGGGGTGGTAAGACCCGACAGTGAATGAGACCGAAATAACTTCTCACGTCCTGGAAGTCGTCTGTGATGATCTCGGGATGCCCTAGGGGAAAAGGTCTGTGTTTCAACACGAAAGGGTATAAGGAACACACGTCCACGTATCTCATGTCCCCTTCTTCACAATATAATTTAGTGGCATTGGTCCGGCCTCCGTACAGGGCTTCTCGAGGTTTTAAAGGATCCGGAATGTCCAGATCTCGTACAAATTGCTGTAAACTCTCATCTTGTTGCACTTGTTGATCGAAATCGTGCTCCCAGATACTACACACGTTGTACCCCATGTCCTCTAAATCCGCAGTCCTTCTGAGGGTTTTCTCGTGTAATTGTTGGTAAGTAAATTGGATCCGGTGAGGATGAGTTTCCGTCTGTAAACTGGGATAGCAAGTGGGGCATCCGTGCCAATAACACCCGTAAAATTCGTAGACGGTACGAGTCGCTTCCTGGTATCCGTCGACGGTATAATTTCCGATCGGGACTTCGCCTCCGTTTCTGGCATGTCGTATGTGACATCCACTCTGATGACTCATCCAGGTGAGCCACCGACAGGCTTTGGCCGAATATTGTCGTGCCGGTTCATACCCGAGGTTCGGAATGATGGCAATGGTGTCTTTAGGCATGAAATTTCGACGGTAGGCTAAATTAGCAGCACTGGCAAACGTGATGGATTCCTGGAAAGGGTCCACGTTGACCAACCCCCTGAGGGTGCTTCTAAACCGTGCACAGCATCGTCTTAAAATGTCGACGTCCGAGATACAATACCCTACAAACTCTTTCTGGAAATCAAACACTTTTCCCCTCTGTTGGTCGTACCATTGGTAAAAAGCCTCTCGTCCACTGGTAGACATTTCGTCCGGTTTGTAGAAAGCTGCCGGTGGATAAGGTCCCACGTAATTCTGGTTCTGTTCCGTATTAAAAAAGTGAGGGAAATAACCTTTCTTCAATTCGTTCAATCCGAAAGCGGAGGGCATCTTGGCCAATGGAAAGGTTAAGAAACTATACGAGTCGATGAATTTGAGTCCACATATTTCCATGGACAAGATCTTACACCCGTTCATGATCACGTTAGGTTTCAGGGGAGAAGAATGCACTATGTAATTCAAAATGAATTGTCCGTCGTATCCTTTGAAGTTATGGGCGATGACGATGGCCCCGTCGTGTACTAAAGTGGAATTCTTAGTACCTGTAGTGGTTTGAAATAACCAGTCCATGAACTTCTTTAAGGTGTCTGGTCCTTGAAATAGGTGCTGACGGGGTCCCATGTGTTGACAATGAGGACAAGGTTGGTCTATGGGTAAGTCATCGCAATGTTGACAGACGCGATGTGCCACACACAGATTAGGGACGTGAATGCCCGATTCCTGAGTGCATTCGAAATCGAAATAAATGTAAAATTCTAAGGTGCCTTTTCCCTTCTTCTTCTTCTTGGGCTTCTGTCGAACGTAGCACCGATGATCGGCATCGACGATTTTCTTACAGATCTTACACAGTTTCTGATCTCCGCATTTGTGATGAGGAAATAATTTCTTAGGTATCCAGGACTGACACTTCTCGCATAACCCCATTAAATTGCAGACAGTAGTGGTGGTCTTCTTACCATGGGGTTTTAAATGATCTTCGTAGCAGGTCCTGTTCTTAAACATTCCATGGCATTCCTGGCATTTAATCTTGATCCCTTCATCGGGACAATTAGGGTGATGTCCTAAACAAAAGGTACAGCGATGAGGGCATTTGGAGCGATGGTCTGTGACATGACTGTACCCCACGTCGCAATGATCACAGTAGTAGGGGTTCCCCGTTACTCCGGCCATCGATATGATGGCATCGCAATGACGGTTGTCTAACAAAATGTTCAAACAAGTTCCATCTCCCCACCCTTTGAAGATGCGCTCTAAACAGAGTTTAGTGGAAGTAGATTTGAACTGAAATATTTTCAGACGATACTGAGGAGCTAATACCTGTTGTAATTTCGGCCACTCTGTATTTCCACAAGCTTGAGTGATATCACATCCGGCTTGTTCCATGAGGGCTATGGCTTCGTTCTTCTGATCCAAGGATTTCTTATCTCCTGACCTCATGAGTTTCCATCGTTTTTCCCATTCCGGGTCTGGATGTTCGGGTTTCTGACTGTGTAATCGAGTGACGACGATGGCTCTAGCCAAACAAAATTTATCATGGGGATTGGCGATCCGAACGATGGCTCGTTTATTTTTCTTGAAAGTTTCTTTATCCAGTTGTAGATGTTTGTTTCTGTTTCCACCACTCACCTGGGGATTCTCGATGTGTAACAGATCGAATTCCGTGGAGCCGTCGCCGATTTTGAACTCCTTTTTGGATTGTTGCACACGTTGTATTTCTTTTAAAATGACGTCTTCGTTTAAATCTTTACATTGCATAAACTTGTAAGAAATGTCTGATTCCAGAGAATCGTGATGAAGGTTCAGGCGGAGGTAATCGTTAGGATCACACTGCATTTTAGATTTGAAGTCTTGAAACATGTTTGTGAATAATCGCCGAAGGAAAGCTGTGTTTTCTTCTTCTTCTGGAAATTCATCGAAATGAACGACATATCTATTTTCATGCGCTTTAAATTTTGGAGAGGTCCTTTTTTCAGCTAGTCTCATGTGATAATACTCAGAAATGGGTTTAGGTGGTAAATCTATTTCTCTCTCGGTACTTTTTCGTTTCAATATTCGTCGAGCCTGTACCTGTTTTTCTCTAGTAGAATCCATGTCTATCAGCTGATGGCTCTGAGGGTAAAATGAGCAGAAAGTTGGAGAAAAACCGTATTTATACAGTGGATGACGTCACAATGCATAGGTAAGCATTTTTTTTTTGCACACGGCCCTAAACAAACTTGAATCGCTGCCAAGTATTTACCTGTATAGTCAGCATAAACAAAACGTAGGGGTATCGTATATGTTTTGCACACGGCACTTTATAGGTGATGCAAACAGGTATATATATAAGAAAACGTAGGTAAAAAGTATTTTTTGCACACGGCCCTAAAATAAATCCATGCTATATATATAAACCAGCGCTGGACATTGAGGATCACTCTGCGTGAGTACTTGAAAGTGAACACAAGTAAAAAAGTTTCAGTGGTCAAGTCAGAGGTATGGAACCAAGGTATCGCTGGTTTATTGAGAATACTGACAAGAGTGGACCCTGGATGAAAACCCTAGAAGAAGCCACGCAGGATTACCATAAAACCCATTCAGAGGAATCTAATCAAACAGTATGGACTTGGGAGGAATACTTTAAAGAACTGTGGGGCTTGGATAAGATGATTCCTGAACAATCTAAAGAAAAAGTTGAAGAAACTAAACAAAAAGTATGGTTGGAAAAAAGAGTGAAATTTCCTGAAAATTATGTGGTGATAAGGAAGCACTGCTCTTTTGAGGGAATGAAGGGTTATCACGACTACAAATGGGAGATCAGAGGTGAGGATGATGATGGTTTTCGGATTGAAACTATATACTTCCCCGAGTTAGAATCGTGTATTGAACATTTACTTCTGTACAAGAAAGAAGGAAAAGCCTTAAAAAGACCGCATCTAGGTACTTATACAGAGTATCTCCATGGAATAATTCCTTATTTTCCAAATGAAAAAGGTATCCCTTGGATGACACGAGACTATGATGATGATGATGATGATAATTTGGACTTTATTTTAGATTAAAAGACAGCCTGTAAATTGTTGTATTTTCATTCTGAATAAAATCTGTGTTCTTGATATAATCTGTCTTGTGTGTTATTTGTTATTGTTTTCAGTAAAAATCCAGTTTGAACCGGCTGGCTGGCTAGACTGGCTAGACTGTGAAGCGTGACGTCATAATCACATTCTTGAAATGTTTTGCACACGGCGCATTTACCTGTGTCCATAAACAAAACGTAGTACCAACGTACCAATGTAAACACAGTGTAAACAACTCCGTATGTAGGGATAGGTTAGGGGATAGGGTTAGAGGGCTAAGGGGGGCTAGGGTTAGGGTTAGGGGGTTAGGGTTAGTTAGGGTTAGGGTTAGTTAGGGACAGTTATGGTTAGGGTTAGGGTTAGGGTTAGGTTAGGGTTAGGGGGTAGGGGGTAGGGTTAGGGTTAGTTAGGGCCAGGGGGCTTAGGGTTAGTTAGGGTTAGTTAGGGCTAGGGGGTTAGGGTTAGTTAGGGTTAGGGGGTTAGGGTTAGTTAGGGTTAGGGTTAGTTAAGGTTAGGGTTAGTTAGGGCTAGGGGTTAGGGTTAGGGCTCAACCAATCAAAACTGATCACGTGATTTTCTCTCAGCCAATCAGAATGCGGGGCTATCGGGACGCCTTATACTATTTATAACTAATCTCGGTTGTATAATTCTTTATCCTTCATCACCTGCATACGGAGTTTATCTCTCATTTGATTCGATACTGAGTATGCAAGAGCATGCTCTACGTATGTATAATTTCTATAACGAGGTAAATTATTGACAAACAAGTTGATAAAACAAGAATATCAGCAGTCTCGTTTAAAGTCAATAAATCAGACATCATTTCGTAAGTTCTATGGTCGATACAATGACCTTGTCAGCTAATACAATTTATCATCGAGTCAAATGCTGACTGACGTTTTTCATACTAATTCGCCATTATTTAAACACTAATTTGACAACAGATATTTCCGTTATTTCCCAATCGTGACAAGTAGCACACGGTAGGGGGTGCTCACGCCTTCATTGCACCTGATCCCACCTTTGCTGTTTTGGGGTCCGTGTTTGCTCTTCTCCTATTTTGTATTATTTTATGGACTGTAAGCTTAAATGCTGTTCGTTATCTCCATTTATTTAACTGAGAAGGAGAGTTGTCAAGATATTTCCTGCACATCTATAGCCATGAGTGTCTAAGAGGCCATGTAGTAAGCGTTGAGCTTCATCACACTATATCATCAGTTTACATGAAAAGTGAAAAATTTAGTCCTAGCTCAAATTTTGTGAATATGTTGCATATGAATAGTCTTTCAAAAAATATATCTATGAATGTAAAAAGTTCATCTGGTAACTAGGGAAACAGTTTTCCTTGGATACAACTCAATTATTATGGCTGAAATCGCTAATTTTGTATTCTTCTTGTTATTTGTGACAGAAATAATTCATATGCACTATTTTTTAAAGAAAAAAATCATATTTTTGACTTTCCATAGAAAGTTCAATGCTTACTGACATGGTCTCTTAAATCTTTGATCCCCATATTGTGACCCAGTCCAATATACAGGGGTCATGATTTGAACAGATTATAACCGCACAAAGTAATGAAGTTATATCAGTGACAAAACTGTCAAGTTAACAAATATATGATGACATATGAAGATTAATTGCGCTCAAAAGTCGATTGAAACAACAATTTTTTTAGAGCAAACACGGACCCCTGAAAACAGAGAGTGGTAGTTTACATTCATTCTAATGTCGTTTATAGAAATTCATATAATGATTATACACGACAAAGGCGGTATTCATAAACTGGTGAGGAAGTCGCGATCGCTAACCTTGTCTTTCCATTTATCCGACCGCTTTTTAAAAACAGACTGAGATGCAAGATTTCAACAGGCACTTCTACAGTTATACTGAAACTTATGCACGCTAGCTTGTTTCAGATATGATTTGACAATATCATATCATTCGATCATCAGAATCTCCCTTTTCCTGAGGATGATTAGATCTGTATCAAAATATAGCTATTCTTTGTTGTATAATTCTTGAGAAGATTTTTTAAAGATATTTTCAATATATACATTTTATATTCCTATTTAAAACGTTTGATCGATTCCCTAAAACTTTTTGTATCATTTCAATGATATGTTGTAAATGTAAAATAAAAATAGAACTCAAAGAGAAACAGTACACTAGCTGGTGAAGCTCATCGAGCTGTACCCACGTGCATGCATGTAAAAACGTGCACCAAAAAAAGGTACATGCAACTTGTATGTAGTATATCTTTAATACATTCCG